ATCTGGGGGAAGATGAGCGGAGCTTTCTGAAGGGCCCTGGACGAAGCACTGGGTCACGGTCACCATGCCAACCCACCGGGAGTAGAGCACCCATGCTTTGTTGCTTGTCCTTTGTTCGACTCGCTGCGCTATTAGATGGGTTTTGAGGGGCAGGCTAGCCCTATGTGGGAGACGAGAACCGGGCGTCTATAAATAAACACCGGCAGGGGAAACCATTGGCTGTGATCGCCGTCCTGTTTGCGACGTTAAATAATTTTTGAGGACACTTGGGGGCGGTCCTTAAATAGCCTCTTGATTAGCCAATCGGTGTAAGGCTCGGTGCGCGCGAGGATAAACAATGTGCTAGAGCTGGCCAACTCAGCAGGACTCGGGGCACAGGGGTGGGCTGATTGCACACCTTTAGACACGCACTGCTCTCTGGATGGCTCAGGGACACTGACGTCAAGTGACATTCAAGAGGAACTGAGGGAGGGGTAGATTTCAGGTGATAAGTTCGGGAAAAATTCCATACTGTCCCTATCCACACAAATGATTCTATTTTTATATTTTGATTAGTTAGATGTACAACCTTTTTTTTTTTTTTTTTTTTTAACACGCCCCCGTTAGTGCTAGTGGTGCTGATAAGAGCAAAGACCGCTAACGCCTGGGGGGGAGCTCCATCTATTGGTGGGGAGCGGCACCTACCGGAAAACGGGTCCAACGTCCCTCACATGGGCAGAATTTAACATCTGACAGACAACATAGTTAGAACTGTTTTCTGTTCATTGTGCATTATGTTCGAGAACTAGTCAAACTAAAAAATAGTTTTATTTGTAGAATCCGAACTTACCTGTTAAACCCAACTGGGTATCTCTGAAATAGCCACTGATTATTTAGTATTTTATTTTAAATCGGTCTGTTCAACTCGTTGCGGTAGGCAACGAAGTCTGTCCTAGTGTAAGCAGTGCACAGTTTTGTAGCTTATGAGCGACAGGTAGATCCCACAACCGGACGACCGGATCTTGCGATCGGCTAGATACGCGATAGCCCACTTGGCCTTAGGGCCAGAGGGTGACAAATTTTTGTTCCGCCAACTTAGGGAGAGGCAACAGCAGCAGAGGAGAGCTACGGCAGCAGGGGCCAGCAGGGCGTTCACAAGCGAAACCGTTGTTGCAGCAGTCATAGCAACTGCTGCGCAGCAAAGTTCCCAAGCCGGTAGTTTAGAGTCTGTAGGGTCAACGGTTGCACAAACTCTGAGTCAGTCCACTGGCATCATGGCGAGCCAACCGTTAGTGATGACTCCCGAGGAGGTCGCCATACAGCGAGTTGCTGATCGTGACGCACAGCTACAGCAGGCTTTAGGAGAGATTAAGGCAGAAAAAGAAAGGATGATTAGAAGAAGAGCCAGGATGCAGCGGAGGCAAGCGGACATCAGTGAGTTAGAGGAGATGGACCCTACAGAGTTGGAGGATGATGTGACGACCATACGGTCGGTTTTGCTAAGTGTAGTAGAGATGCAAGATCACCAGATGGAGATCTTACAGGACATCCAACAGAGTCTGGCTGTGTTAGTCGGGCAAGTGCAGGCGACACCACCACCGTCCGGGCCTGGTGCCTGGCCCGTTGTACATCCTCCTCCTTTTGTCCCACCGGTGACTGGGGTATCCCCATATACATCCCCAACATCGGTCCAGCCCGTTTCCCTAGGTATGCCTTTGACAGGCGGGTTTTCATCAGGTCCTAGTGTATAGGCTCCTGTACAGTCAGTGTATTCCCAACCTCCGTTGCAGGTTGCCGTAACTGGGCAGCCTGCTGTCTCGCAGCCTGCACAGCCGCAGGGTACACAACCCCAGCAGTCAGTGCAGCAGCCTGCACCACAGGGTCCACAACCCGGAGTGATGCAGGGACCGGGACAAAGTCAGTGGGTACCAAAAACGGCCATCGCCGCTCCAGAACCCTTTACAGGGGATAAGAGGGGCGAAGACCTCGACACTTGGTTGAGGGCGGTGCCAGTCTATGTCAAGTGCAAACTTACCTTGCCACACGAGGAAGTGCTTGCGGCTGCCTCCTATCTAGAGGGGAGTGCAGCACGATGGTTGAGTGATTTAGTGCAGGTACAAGGGTACGGTCATGATTTTCCCGCTTGGGCGGTCACCCAGAAATTGGACGACTTCCTTAAGTTGGTGGAAGACAGGTGGCATGATCCTCAGGAAGCATAAAAGGCTACTGATGTGATTTTGACACTGCATACAAGGCAGTTTAAGTCAGTAAGGGAAGCCACTGACGCAGTAGAGCGTTTGATCTGTGTCCCTGGGGTGCGCTATGACCCCCAGGTCTTACTCACCTCCTACCTGAGATGCTTTCCCATGCCTCTCAAGAATCAGTTGGCAGGTGAGGCCAACATCAATATGCACAACTTTCCCTCGTTTAGCAAGAAGGCCCTAGACCTTGAGGCAAAGATAGGGCATGGACAGACACCCACTACGGATGGTACTATGGTAGGAGAAAGTCACTGCCTCCCAATTGGAAGGCGAAGGGTCGCATTATGTTTGTCGATAACGATGGTTCAACCATCGAGTTAGATAACAACTTCTAGGAGGGAGTAGGCTCAGAGGCTGGCAGCTTAGAGGCTTCAGGGGGTGGAGTAGTCGCTGTCGTAGCTCAAAAAGGAAAGGCGACCGGTAGACGTCGTGAAGGTTCCCGGTCAAGGAGTCAAGTTGACCCCAATGCTCCCCCATGGGAGAAAGCGGGTCTTACTGAGGACGTGTGGAGAGATCTGTACACGCGGCAGACTTGTATCCGTTGTGGCCAATATGGCCATAACCAATTCAAGTGTGGAAATAAGAAGGTGACCGAAAAGATCCCGCCTACGATAGGGCAGGCGTTGGGATCCTCCGCTCCTGTTGGTAGCAATGTGGCCAGCAGTTCTGACACTGCTCCGAGAAACGCGTCGAGCCAGTAGGAATGGTAGCTGTTCCTGCTAGGGTCAAGGTGGTGGACACACCCTCACCATCTTGAGAGATGGCCCAAGCTACTGACTCCATAGTCGTCCCGCAAACACATTCTGACCCATCGAGCCTCTATTCGATGAATGTGTTTGAATCCTTAGAGGAGCTAGAGGAGGAGTGGTCTAGATCAGACCCACTAGCTTCTTGGACGACATTGGCCAAAGCCCCTAAGGGAGAGATGTTCGTCGGCGAGGTAGTCATCGGCGGCCGCAAGGCCGGGGCCTATTATGACACTTGCTCGACTAGGAACTTCATTAGTCGCGCGTGCGTTGAGAGGTTGCACTTACAAGGGTGAGTGCAGCGCCTGAGTTGACCTGTGGAGTCGACCTGTGCCAACAAACAGCGCATGGTAGTCAACGACTACCTCCAGGATGTTGAGTGTTGTTTCCCGTACATGGGAGGGGAATTGAGACATCGTGTCTCATTCCTAGTGAGCGATGATCTCCCTATGGATATCTTGTTAGGTATGTACTACCTCTCTATGCACAGCCCCAGTTTGACTAGGACTGAAAAGTGGTCAAACACACTTTGTCAGGTGGAGGGACCGCTAGATTACATAAGTTCAAAGCTAGTAGTCTGATTGAGTCCCACGGATGCATGTGTGCGGCCGCGTTCTATAACTATTATAAGCAAAATCTGGAGGAGGGTATGTATCTAGTCTATGTCTCTACAGCAGGCGAGCCGGTGAAAATGCCACCGGAGATAGATGGAGTAGTTGCCAAGTACCCTGATTTATTTGAAGAGCCTACAGGGGTTGTTGAGAGGGAGGTCGTCCATGCGATAGAGATTATCCCAGGGTCTAGTATCCCAAAGGGTAGGATCTATCGGATGTCTCCAGGTGAGCTTGATGAGCTTCGCCGACAACTCAAGGAACTCGTAGAGAAAGGTTGGTTCCGGCCGAGTGTTTCTCCTTATGGATCACTAGTCCTATTCGTACCGAAGAAGGAAGAAACACTTAGGATGTGCATTGACTATAGGGGCCTCAATGCCATCACTGTCAAGAACAGAGAGCCCCTACCGCGCATCCATGACTTGCTAGATAGAGTGCAAGGGTGTCGGTACTTCAGTAAGATAGATCTGAAGTTCGGGTACTATCAGATTGCAATCCGGCCCGAGGATCAACACAAAACCGCATTTCAGACCAGGTACGGTCTGTACGAGTTTGTGGTGATGCCTTTCGACCTTTGCAATGCTCCTGGCACCTTTCAGCAGGCTATGAATCGGATATTTCATGACTACTTGGATAAGTTTGTCATCATGTACCTCGATGATATACTTATTTTTAATAAGATTGTCGAGGAACACGTTGCGCACTTGGACAAAGTCCTTACTCTTCTTCGACAGCACAAGTTCAAGATCAACGGTGAGAAGTGCGAGTTTGGCTGCACCCGTGTCTTGTACTTGGGTCATGAGATTTCCGCGGAGGGATTGAAGCCCGATGACGCGAAGGTGGCCAGCATTCGTGACTGGCCGCGTCCTCAGTCTGTGACTGAGATGAGGTCCTTCTTAGGGATGACAGGCTACTACCGCAATTTTGTTCAAAATTTCAGCATAGTGGCCACCCCTTTGACGAACCTGACTCGCCTTTACACCCCATGGGAGTGGACAGACAAGTGTGAGGCTGCTCTCAGACAACTGAAGCATGCATTGACACACCATGAGGTCTTGAAACTTCCTGATCCTGACAAACCTTTCGTAGTAACTACAGATGCTAGCCAATATGGCATAGGCGCCGTACTTGCGCAGCAGGAGGGGAAGAAGTTGAGGCCGGTAGAGTACATGTCCAAAAAGATGCCCTCTCAGAAGTTGGCTAAGTCCACCTATGAGAAGGAACTATATGCGATCTACAAGGCGCTCACCAATTGGAGACACTATCTCCTTGGGAGGTTCTTCTACGTCAGGACGGATCACCAGACCCTGAAGTGGATGTGTTGACACACCATGAGGTCTTGAAACTTCCTGATCCTGACAAACCTTTCGTAGTAACTACGGATGCTAGCCAATATGGTATAGGCGTCGTACTTGCGCAGCAGGAGGGGAAGAAGTTGAGGCTGGTAGAGTACATGTCCAAAAAGATGCCCTCTCAGAAGTTGGATAAGTCCACCTATGAGAAGGAACTCTATGCGATCTACAAGGCGCTCACCCATTGGAGACATTATCTCCTTGGGAGGTTCTTCTACGTCAGGATGGATCACCAGACCCTGAAGTGGATGAGAACCCAGCCTGTGCTCTCCGACGCTCTGAAGCGTTGGATTGAAGTCATAGAGCAGTATGACTTCGAGCCCCAGTACATCAAGGGCGAGTACAACAAGGTTGCTGATGCGCTGTTGCGTAGACCAAATTTCTCTGGTGTGCTAATCACTGAGTTTGGGCTTGTGGACGATGTTACTCACTCTATGGTGGAAGCCTATCATGAGGACCGGTTTATGTCTGAGATCATACGCAGACTCGAGGCGAAGGACAAAGCGACTTCTGCCAAGTTTGAGTTGGTCAACGGACTGCTGTTCCTTGAGAAGGCAGGGAATAAACGTCTGTGTGTGCCAGATAGGGAGTCTTTGCATAGTTTATTTTTAGGCGAGTGTCATGACGCCACGAGACATTTTGGCTTCAAGAAGACGACAACCAACTTGCTGCAGCGGTTCTGGTGGCCAACGATAATGAGAGATGCCAAGTTGTACGTGGAGACTTATCAGGTCTGTCAGAGAGACAAGCCCCGTACACAGGCCCCTCTTGGGCTCCTCAAGCCCCTTCCAATTCCGGAAAGGCCTGGTGAGAGTTTTTCCATGGACTTCATGGATACAGTGATCACCAGCAAGAGTGGAATGCGACACATCTTTGTCATTGTGGATAGGTTTAGTAAGTACGCTAGATTAGTTGCAATGCCGGAAACAACAAAGACTGAGTACGTCATTAAGTTGTTCAAAGAAATCTGGGTCAGAGATTTCGGATTGCCTAAGTCTATCATTAGTGACCGGGATGTGCGATTCACTAGTGAACTGTGGAAAGCTGCAGCTGCAGAACAGGGCACGCAGTTGCAAATGACATCAGGCAATCACCCAGAAGCGAATGGGCAGGCAGACCAATTGAACCGCGCGGTACAACACCTGGTGAGGCATTACATCAAGCCGAATCAGGTAGACTGGGATGAGAAACTCGCTCTCATCGCCAGCCTGTACAACAACGTTGTGCACAGCGCTACGGGAGTAAGCCCGAACATCCTGCTACTGACTTTCAGGCCTAGACTGCCCTTGGACTTCCTACTACCTGAGAATCGGTCAGCTGCTGCACCGGGCACCTTGGAGTTTGCTTATCGATATGAGCAACTGATGCAACAGACAGTCGAACAGATGCACAAAGCACAAGCGGCAATGATAGAGTCTGAGAACAAACACCACTGCCCATCTACATTCCAGGTAGGAGAAAGAGTCTGGGTTAAGTCCTTAGAACTGGGACAGGAGTACGGGATTTCCCGTAAGCTCATGCCGCAGTACTTTGGACCATGGGAGATTCTAGATGTTGTGGGGAATGAACCAGATGGAGCATCTTATGTTATTCGTATCCCTGCTCACTTACGCACTTACGTTGTTTTCCACGCCTCAAAGCTTGCACCTTTTAAAGAAACAGATCAATTTCCCTCTCGTCGCTCAATGCTGCCCCCAACCATGGATGGAGAGGTCGACATCGACGACATTGTTGATCACAGGGAAATGCCAGTTCCAAGACCAGGCAGAGGACGTCCTCTGAAACCGAAGCTGCAGTATTGAGTTCGGTTCAGAAATCACACTGATCCAAAGGAGGATAGATGGTTCACAAGAGAGGAACTGATGCAGACTGCTCCACATGTAGTCGCTCACTATGAGAAGTCCTGCAGAAAGGAAAGCTCCACATTATCGAAGACTGAACTTTTCATAGGACTAGCGAAGTATGGAGGAGGGAATATGAGGCATAAGGCCTCGATAAGCCCTACTGGGCCCCTATTTGCAACAGCGTCGGCCGCCCTAACTTCCCTAAGTGAAGGCAGGCTCGACAGACCCCAAGAGGCCTATTTTGGACTACTACGCAACTAGGCAAATTCAGGGAGTTGCGCAGCGCCAGTCGGTTGGAAGCACCCAGACCCAGGCTGCCTTTCATTGCATGTAACTGAGGCAAGGCCTGGGCCGGGTACACAATGTGGACCGAACAAAGGCTGAGGGCAGTTGGGTGATGGTAACCGCCTCAAGCCCTGGGCCTGTTTCCTTCGGTCTGAGGCTCAGCCTCCCTGGGCCTACCATCCGGGGCCCAGCACCGCAGCACAACACGCAGCAGCAGGCCACTTCGATATAGGGAAGGGTCTGCCCACACATTGGACATTCGGGCACTGGCTGAGTTGTGCGCAAGCTCTGCTGCACTATCGCCTGTCAGGCTCGCGCGCTCACGGGCGAGTTGGAAGGAGCAGACAGCCATAGCCGAGCTGCGTTGCTGTAAGTTGGATGGGGCGCAAGGTGGTCCTTGGGTGCAAGTGGCATCTGTGAGTTGGGGAACGAGGTTGTGAGTGATACGAGAGACATACCTGGTGCTTGACGCGTGCGGCATTGGCCGAGATTTGCTCGTACTTCGGGGAGTTGTTGACGTCATCAGCGACATTGTAGAGTAGGCTAGATAGGATCTGCCATTTGTAGTCTGGGCGCCTAGCGCCAGATAGGATATCAACATTGGTTCTTCGTTGATGATGATGATGAGACTATTCCAGCATTGTCAATTATGAGTTTTTGGTGTGCTCTTATTTGGTGAAACTCGTAGTTCTGCTTTTGGTTCGAGGTCACGACTATCTGCTCTCATGTGTATGATAATGTTTGATTGTTGAAGTTCGCTATTGCTCATCTTCCTTGGATAATATAAATCTTTGCTATTTGTTTAAACATAATTGAGGTCTGGTTGGGGATCTCCATAAGTTGGAGTGATCTGATCATTGGTCGGAAGAGAGAATGAAGGTGTGATCTTACTTGTTGAATGTAGTTGTGTTGTGGAGGTTGGGCGAACACATAAGTTGGGGGTTGTTCAATCATACGCACATATTGTTTGTCTAAGCAGGTTGGACTACCCATAAATTGGGTAGTCTGGTTCTATGCTATATGCCACTATCTGGGCTGGCTAGCCACACCCTAAGTTGGTGTGTTATAGTTATATGCCTCTTGTCGTTGTCCAGGCAAAGGTTGGACCCCTAACGAGTTGAGGCGGCTTATTTATTTGTGTATGCCAAACGTTCAGGCTAACCAGCCTCACCATAAGTTGGTGCGGCCCGGTCATACACCTTATGTCAATCGTCTAGGCAAAAGCTAGCCACACCATGAGTTGGTGTGGCATGGTCATATGCCTTATGTTTATTTGTTTTACCAGGCTAGGGCACCATAAGTTGGTGTGACCCAGTCATATAAAATGGCAGGTCAGTCATATCCATAAGTTGGTTTTCTAATCCTATGCTTTATGTTAGGAGGGGTAAAAAGCGAATAACGTAAGACTGGAACAAACTATGTAATCTATAAAGGAGCCCGAGGGCTAGAGAGAGAAGTTATTGTGCTCACTTGTGTGTGTTTTTTGGGTTTATCATTTGGGTTTTTTCGATAGCTTAGTCGCTTTAGATACTCGCTGAGTGTTGGAGCTTTAGGTAGGTACGATGGACGATGAGAAGGAAGTTTGGGGATAAGATAGTAGTGATCTTACTAGAAGTTAGGACTAGTGCTAGCTCACGATACCATCTTCAAAGAAGGATGATATAGACTATCTCCAGTTCTAATTGTCAAGTAAGTGTCAGAAGTTAGGCCCAAGTATAGTTGCACTTTGCTTTCACATTTTCGGTTTTGTAAAGATTTTGACAGTCTCCCTTTCCTACGGGAAGCGCTGCCGAAATTTTTACAAATCTGAAAAAGTTAGTCATTTTTGGGCTCGTGAAAATTCTGGAAATACACTTTTCCTACGGGAAGCGCTGCCGAAATTTTCAGAAATTTGGAGAGTTAGATTATTTTCTATTAGGAGAAATTTGACAAATTTGCAACCCATCTTGTTTAGGGGAGATGTTGTCAATACCCTGACAAATTTGCAACCCATCTTGTTTATAGGAGATGCTGTCAATTTCTCAATAACTTCTGGTACCGATTAGAGGAAGATGAGAGAAAAGTTAGTAGAGGAACTAGGCTACGAAGTGAAGCATGTCCTCCACTTGTTTTAAACGTAGTATGGTCCTTTGGCCTGTACTGTGATGCAGGTCTACACTTTCGATTGAAGGCTTGATTCGGTCGGCTTGATCCTACAAAGGATCACTATTTTGTTATCCTTTGATAACAAATCGGTTTACGACATGACTTACCTGCTTCTGCATCTCAACCAAAAGCCTTAGCCCTTGTGGATTTTTATATGTTCGTTGGGATTTTCACCCAGACTTATTTTTAAATGACCATTTTTAAAGATTGAGTATTTTTGTTGTAGGATGGTGGAGAATGGTTGAGGTTTGTGTGCATAAGGCGGGTTATGAGTTGCAGGGAAGGGTAAAGTTGACTCCTTCAGTATGTGGAATGTTGTTGTCAAATTTTGTCTAACCGCAGGTATGCATGGAAGGTAATAGATTGAGTCTTGATGATTGTTTGCGTATTGCTTGAATGTTGATGAACAAGTCACATCAATACTTGTGAGAGTGATCGTCTAATGTCATACAAACCTTTTATCTGATTGATTCAACCAGCTTACTTTGCATAGCCAAGGGCACGTGTGTATACACATACGCTCGATACCCACGACAATGCGCATGCTTATTTGTTTTGCTATTTGAATTAAGTGGTTGGACGTTGGTTCTGGACCTGGAATTCGAGGTCCTTGTCCAAGACATTCCAGGTTCATGTTCAACACAAAAGGGTTTCTCATATGCGCTGAACATTTGTGCCTTGCCTATCGTAGCGCTCTGCCTATGGGACAATGACGCCGCAAGGGCTGAACGACTCATCCTTCAGCCGTTCAATATCTTGAAGGAGATTTCCTTCACAATACCTCAACTCTGACACTTGAGTGTCGTGCGCAATGCTTAAGCCTGCACAAGGTCGAGCAATTGTGGGTAACATGTGAAGCGTCGCTATGACAACCACCAATTTATACCATCATGAGGTCAATACAACATTATTGATGACCTACACTCTCCTTGTCAATCCTAATATAATCCAAGTAACTATGGGTCGGTCGAGGTCCTATTTAAGAATTGACCAAAACAACTACCAAAGTTACAGCAAGTACCCGGTATCGAATCCAAGTTGAAAAAAAAAAAACAGCCTGAAAAAATGTACCTGAAGGCCTAGAGGTCAATGTCCCTCAAACTCCAGTAAGTACAACACAACGTAGGGTCGACGAACAGACAATTATTCGTCGGTTCGAGGGTGGGACGCGTTGGCTTATGCGCTTGGCTTCTTCAAGACCGAGTTGCTGATGAACAGAGAGTTGTTGTGTCCGTTCATTTGATCGTAGTGTAAGTAGGGTCAGATCAGGAGAGTGAGTGTGTGGCAGCGTGCTTGGGTGACAATTGGCTGCTGCTGGGTTGCCGATGTAGTGAGAGCTTGAGAATCAACTTTTTTTACCTTGTGCTGTGCTCTCGCCAGTCGATGGGCTCTGAACTTTGATTGGTGGGATGTGTTTTGAGGCGATGGTCGATTGACTACCACATTGTTGCACCGCTGCAAATGAATTGGGGCGGTGATTGAGTCGGACCTGCAACTGAACCTCGTCGGTGTTTGAGGCCCGATTTGATGCTTGGGTTCTCCTAGTTGAATCATGCTGTTGTGTCACGCTGTTTGACGCTAGATTTGATCTCTGGGTTCTCCTGGCCGGTATTGGAGGTGCACAAGAGGATGTCCACTAAAAAGATTCCAGAGTTATGGAAGATCTGCAGCAAGGAGGGTATCAAGTGGTCAAAGAGGGATGAAGTCATCTGTGAGTTCATAAGGTGCAGGACGAAGTTAGCCTATGAAGGTTTTGTCAAAAAGATGGATGACATCTCCCCATTGAATGAAAAGTGAGGTAAGTAGAGTTGGGGTACGTAACACAATATGGAGGATTTGGAAAGATGTATGATGCTCAAGAAAGATAGGATGGGCGAATATGGTAAGTTAGTACACTTTGAGCTAGAGAACCATGCGACTGGGTTGTTCCTACTATTTGTTGTCAAAGGTTTTTTCCCGTGGATGAAGAAATGGTTGGGGATACTGAATGAAGATGTCACAGAGAAGATTGATACGAGGGAATCGGGAGTGTATATCGTGGTGAGTCCTTGGTGTAAGCATATTTACATCGGATGTATTGTTAGGAAGGTGATCACAAGGTGGGCTGAGCACGTTAGATGCATTGTTTTGGGAAACTTTGGCAATGCCAGAAAATTGCATGTATGGTTAAGAAGGTTTGGGTGGGAACAACATCCAGTTGTGGGAGTGGAAGATCTCGTGAATGTTGAAAAAATGTTGATAAGAAGGTTTTCCCCGGAGCTCAATAGCATTGGGAAAGGGCAAGGGAGCGGAAAGAAGAAGAAGAGGAAGGGGAAGAGCGAGAGGGGTAAGAGAGGCACTAGGATTACACATTGTACGGTGTTGTATTTTAACCTACTGGACCATCAAGTCGTCATCTCTCATAAAGGTTTTGAAGAAGATAGAGGTGGATGGGGGAAGGGGTCTTACCATGTCATCAAGAGGTAAGATGTGGTCAGACGGATGGTTGACTGTGCGGACAAAGGTAGGGGAGTCAGATATTGAGTATGGAGGAAGGAAGGTGTAGTTCAAAGATGCTAGGAACAGGTTGGAGAAGTGCGGTCCGTGTCAGATACTTAAGGTGAAGCTCCGTTCCTCAGCGATTGTTCAGCGGAAGAATTTTTTGAGGGAATTGTTGGCCCGACCTTGTCGCATAAAGAGTACGTATCGATTTTCTTCTGCGAATTTGATTGCTCTTTATAAGACTGCAAGTCTGTTTTCTCAGAAGAAGACTCGCACCTCGTTGAAGTTGAGATTAACCAAAGTAATTAAGGAAAAATTCGGTGAAGATATTAGGAAGAGACCCTATGTGAAGATCCCGTTCTCTCCCCTCTTAAAAACGAGCATCATTCGGAGAATCACGATTGAATCTTTGCATGAAGTGATCCCTGATATTGTTATATGCAACTATGTGGGAGGAAGAGTGAGGGTTGCCATGATGAAGAGATGAACAGTGGGGGATTTGATACACAATCATCGAGCTTGGGTGAAAAATGATGATACGAGATGTACGTGTTTGTCCATTGATTTGCCTCGTTCTCAGGGGCATGTCATGACCAGGTTGAACGAGGTGGAAGTCGTACCTGTTTTTTTATGCAACTCCAAGAACATCACGAAAGGGAAGGATCGGCTCTCTGAAGGGATGGAGAAGGTTATAGTAGGGGCTATTAAACTCTGGGCAAAAGGAAGAAGGATTCGTATTGACAAGGCTCAGTTAACGACAACAATTGTCGTAGTAAGGAACAAAGAATCAGGTATGTAAGAGGAGCAAGTGATAGAATGGTTTGCTCCTTTCCAGGATTTGGTCGTTGTTCCTATTGATAGGAACCCAGGGGGCACTTTGTTGATCTGCGTTGTTTTGTATTTACACTTTTACCGTTTGACTTTCCTATGGAATGGTAGTTTCGTCCCACATAAAGATTCATAAATTGATGTGCTGAGGACAGCCAAAGAGGAGTACAAACGGAACGGGTTGGAAAAGATTGCGGAATGGGGAAAAGACGGTAAGATCGGAACGGCCTGCGTTATTCGTAAAGACAAGGACTTAACTAGATGGAGACCAATTTCTCTGGCCACCCCTCTAGGCTAGCGAGTTCACGGGTAGGCATAGCAGTAAGATTCATTTTACTCTATATCAGAAAGAGTGTCCACTTTGATTTGAGATCTATGGATGAGTTACGTGGAATTCTGCATCAACATCATGAGTATTTTCGAAAAAGATGTGATGCAGTATTAGCACAGAGCTTCGATATAAAAGATATGTTCGCAAAACTTATGCACGAGAGTGTATTGGGGGTTGTTGAATGATATGTTGCACGCTGGCCGCGGCCGAGTTCGGCCCAGGCCGCGGCCGGCGTGGCCGAGTTTTTTCGGCCTCGGTGTCGGCCGATCTGGGGGGTGGTTTTCGGAGCGGGGTGCGGGTTGGGGGTGGGGGGGGGGGGGAGCACCCCCTCAAAGTGACAGGTCGTAAAAAAAAAAAAAAACGGGGGGGTTCTGCACAAGACCCTGGAAATGTGGCCCGCGAAAAATCCAGCGGCCCCCGTGTGCAGGTTCGTCGATGAGGGATCGCAGGGAGGACGGTCTGGAACAATGGAAAAAATATATATATATATATATATATTTGACCCCTGGGGGGGCGGCCCAACGTGGGTTGGATGAGGGCCTAGTTGGGGCGGGCCGTGCGGCCAGGCCGGGTCGAAGCTAGACAGGGCTGCAGATGGCAGACCCCAGGCGGATCAGGGCCTCATGCACTGAAAGGTAGGCGTCGGTTTCATTAATGAGGGCGATGACAATTCGTCGCTTATTTTAAAACAACACATTCATGGCAATCATAAGTCAGACCCTGTTTGGCATACCAATGTCAAAACACATTGGAAATCAATCACACTGCACCGAACCACAAGTTTCAAACAATGATAACAGGCAAGTGTATCATAGTGTGTGTTCACTCATGAGACTGATGGACATTCATTAACACATCATTTATGTAAGAACACATTCATTAGCACATCATCCCTATGTCGCATCTGAAATTAACAGCACATTCATAATGGAGGCATCCATGACATGCAGGTGCGTGGCATCGGAGAAGCACATAATTTGCAACATTCACGACAATAGAGCAGAAAACAATCACCAAACAACAGCGACTCAGATGCAAGACCAATGTTGGCGGAGGAACAAGAACAAGAGCAAATATATGACAAAGCATTTCAATGGAAATGCGTATGTACAAGGCTGGAGCCAAAAACTGGACCCGTAGTCTCTACTCTGCAACCGAGTAGCAAAAAAAAACTGGACCCATAGTCTCTGCTACACAACAGAGTACCAAAAAAAAACAGGACCCGTCGACGGGCGTCGTCTCTACTGTACAACCGAGTAGCAAAAAAAAAAAAACAAAAAAAACTAATGTCCACATACTATCGTCGTCTCCATGGAACAACATCAACATAAATATGCTACAACCCTGCCGACAGAGCGTCCAGGCTGTACAGCCACGCGAAAAAAAAAAAATACATCACTCTTCCGGGAGTGGCGGCCATGCGATCCTCCCCGTCGCCCTCCTCTCCCTCCGGCGCCTGTGCCCCGTGCCCCACTGACGTATGCCGCATGTGCTGCAGCGGCCGCCGCGGCCGTCGTGGCCACCTGTGCCCTGTGTCTGCGGGCCTCAGTCTCGATCGGCTCGGACTCAGTGTCTGCGTCCTCGTCCTCCTCTGCCTGTGCAGCAATCCCCCTCTCTCTCCCTCTGAATCGCGTCCAATGCTGCCTGCCCAGCAGCGACCCCTGCAGCGAGTCGAGCCTCAACCTCTGAGAGGCCATGCTGTCATCTCGTCCCGGGACGCATCAACAACCCCTCCTCGCCCGATGTGAACTGCTCTCCCCGGAGCCTGTCCGTGGATGTCCCTGGGGCCTCGAGGACCAATGTCCTCCTCGTCTCCGCTCGTGACAAACCAAGCATGCGGCCTGCCATCTACAGGCTCGGACGTCCGGACCCGCCCTCCGCAGCCTGGGTCTAAACAGGCGCACATCCCGTGAAGACGCCCCTCCCAGCGTCGTAATCCGCCCGCAACCGGTCCCCGACCCGACGAACAACTGACCATCCGCCACCCACACCTCCTCGGACTGGCGGCTGGGAACCGCCATTGTGCGCAACTCCGGGTGCCACCGTCCGGTCCCCGGTGTCGACCCTGCCCTCCGGAGTCCGTGCGGGCGGTGGAGGCATCGATCCTGCACTATCTCTGCCACCGTCGCTGCGTCTGCCGGACCCCACCTCACCCGCACCGGACTCCCTCCCTCTAACGCCGATGAGCGAGGAACCCGACCAGTGAGGGCTCTGCACTGTGAACGGCGGCGGTGAATATACCCTCCCAAGGGCCCGCTGCTTGCCGCTCTTGCAGCTCAGGTGTGCGAAAGGGTCATCCGTCAACGCATGTGCCAAAGCGTCGTCGTCGAAGAAAGTGTGCGTTGTGCTGTCAGGGCGCATGGGAGGCACTGTGGGGTCCCTCAACACCAAGGCGAGCCTATAAGGATCGTCCTCCGGACCGTGGTCGTCGTCATCGTCGCCGTCCGGTCCATCGTCTCCACCGACACCCGCGGTATCCCCATCTCCACCGGGTCCACCCTATCCTCTGCCGCACACTGTGGCACCTTGTCCCTCATCACCCGCGGTCTCGCTGTCGCCACGGCCCCCACTAGGGGACCCACCGCCCATGACAACATCCTGCCCCTCAGGGACACCCGCGGCGGCATCCTGCCCCTCATAATGGAACTCCCCCTGAACCGCCTCCTCAGGGACACTCGAGTCGTCGACGTCACGGCTCCCCTCCCCTCCTGTCTCCAAGGCCCTCTGCCGACGCTGCTCGTCGAGATACGCGAACCGACCCTCCCACTGTGGCAAACTCCTCAGCCGCTCCTCCTCCTCTCGGTCCAACCGGGCATCCCTCTCCTCCTCAGTCTCAACAGGGCCCCGCTCAACGTCCTCGTATGTGCGCACATCCTGCGGTGAGGCACGTCGACGTCCCTCGACACTCAAATCTCCCAAGCTCCCGCCAAGCCCTATGTCCTCAAAGTCCTGTGTGCGGAGCACCGACGGCGAGCGGGGGCGGATACCGGCGTCGGAAGGAGTCCTCTCCCCCCAACGATCCTCGCCGTCATGTGTCCAGTCTCTGCCTGTTGCCGACGCCAACCTCTCCGAACGCCTAAGTGGCTCCCCCTCGGGTTGTGCAGAGATCGGATGATGGGAGGGAGAGAAACGACGATCGCGAAGGGGCACCTCCTCATCCTCGGACTCCCCCTCCGCCTCGCTATCGCTCCTAACCTCCCAACGCCTGCCTGTCTGCCGAAGACCTCCCCATGGCTGCTGCTCCCCTGAGTCGTCCACGCGAACCTCCGCATGCGAATCTGCCGCTGGATCTCCTGCTCGGGAACACTGCCATCAGGTCGCGCTCCCCACACCTCAGGCTCCACATCTCCCTCCTCATCCTCCTCCTCTGCCGCCGTCCCTCCCCGACCGCTCCCCATAACCCATGGCAACACGTAGCCACCACCCTGCCGTGCGCACGAGGCCAGTTTGAGATTGGTGGCAATCTCAACCAGCTGTGCAAGTTTGGCGAACCCAAGCTTGCAGCGCCTCGCCGTGCTGACGCACTCGTGCTCCGCCCAGTTCCTCTCCGTTGGAGAGGCAAACGTCCACAAGTGCATGACACGGATGGCGATGGTGCGCAACTCCGGGTGAGCACGTCCATGCTCGAACCACCACGCTGCACATCGCTCGGTCTCGCTGT